GCATAAATATACATGTTTTTTATATGGACCCTTTTCTCACATTGGTTTTATTTCTTGTTTATTAATTGTGATATTCTTTTCTCTAAAATGATGTAATTTTTCCTCAATGGCATTCCACATAAGACAAGTTCTTTTGTTTTAAACACACCCAGATTCCAGGGGAGGAAGGGACACATTTCTTTTGTTGAAAGAGTGTAATTTACATAGGGTGGGGTAAGTAGGTTTTTGGCTCCATTTATGCAAGCTGTGGGACAGTTTGTAATTCAGTACACAGTTCCATGAAATTATTCATGTTCCTCGAGAAGTAGAGTAGGAAGAACATGTGGTATATCCAGAGTGATGGGCGAAAGGAAAAGTAGCAGATATTTAGAGAAAATCCAGACACACTAGAAATCCAAAATAATAATGTCTTAGGTAACTCACTTATTCCTAGTCGCCAGTCTCTTCCTTAATCAAACAAGGGCATTAAATTGGGCAATCTCTAACATCCCTTATAGTAGCGGTTCTCAACCTGTGGGTCACGACCCCTTTGGCGGTCGAACGACCCTTTCGCAGGGGTCGCCTAAGACCATCCTGCATATCAGATATTTACATTATGATTCATAACAGTGGCAACGTTACAGTTATGAAGTAGCAACGAAAATAATTTTATGGTTTGGTCACAACATGAGGAATTGTATTTAAAGGGCCAGAAGGTTGAGAACCACTGCCTTATAGCTCTAAAACTTATTCTTACAGACTCCCTGGTCTAATTATATGAAACATATTAAGTACCATGTAGCACATTAAATAATATCTCAGTGCCTTGCTGTTCTGTGTCAAGCCTTCCCCGTTAAAGGGCACATGATTAATTTAAGGTTCTCTTTAAAGGCCTCCTTTCCTTGCTCATTTATATTTTCAGTAACTTAAATGTTTATAGAAAATCCCCATTAATATGCCACGTGTAGTGCCAAGGACAGGCATAGTGGTTGGCTCTGTGCACATTTGTGTCTGTAGGAAGAGAGCATAGAGAGCATAGTGGCGATGACTTCATTTGATTTACCACCTTCCACTCTGTGAGAGTCACTCTAGGGCTACCAAACAAGGGCTTGTCCAGCTGCATTTTAACAGAGCCATTTCTTCAGAAATAAGAGGAGAGATTGTGACAATAGACAAAGTACTTAGGGCATTGGTTAGATCTATTTCAAACATGCCAATAGTGTCAAATTTCTACTCTACAAATTTTGGGGGCTATTTTGTTAAAATACATCAGGCATAGGTTCTGTGTTGAGTAGTAGTTGCTCCTCATAGTATACTAGAGGTCCCATTCATGAAGATTCGTGCAAAAATGGGCCTTCCTTCCCCTGGCTGCTGGCACCACCTTTGCTCCAGCCTGGAGCCACCTTTCTGCCTTCCTACACTTCCCAGAGGCCCGGAGCAGCTGGGGCAGTGCAGAACACCGCTGGCCACTCCGCACCTGTGTATGCAAATCAACCCGTCATCTTTGTTAGGTTAATTTGCATACTCACTCCTGATTGGCTGGTGGGCATCACAAAGGTACAGTCAATTTGCATCTTTCTCTTTTATTAGTGTAGATGTGTAAGTTTATAAGTGGACAGATCCCTTTTGCTTATACCAGTGTGGGTGTGCAAACAGAAATATGCAGGTAGACATATGTCACTGAGGCCACCAAGAACATACAGGACAAACTTCATCTCTTCTTTAACTCTCTAGAGTATGAAGTTGAGGCTCATGTTTTAATGTTATCATGATACTATGATTAATTTAATAGTATGTAGTGGGTGGTCCTTTCTCCACATTATAAGAGTGACTGACTTCTTTATAGCTCTTATCTCATGATGAGAAAATACTTATTTCATTTAAGTGACTGACCAAGGGCTGTGATGGTTGATAAGGATCTGAGTTGAGGTAGAATTGGCTTTGGTTGATAAGGCTGAAGTGTAATTCTAGAAGGGAAAATAGAATTCTCTCAACCTTATTTCGTGGCCCCCACTCTTTAAAGGGAAACTGTATTGTTGCTCATTTCTTCTCATTAATGAGGTGCTTTTGGTAGCTTTAAACAAACCCTGATAGGAAGCTGGCCACTCTAAGTGAGGCTGTTGGGTAGGGTAGGAAGACAAATGGAAGTCTATGTGTGGTGTGTTGAAATTATACATCAAAGCAACAAATCCTATAAAATAAAAGCCTAATATGCTAAGTGTATGGTCATCTGGTTAGCTGTTCAAACAATCAAAGAGTAATATGCTAATGATATGCTAAGGCCACTCAACCGCTTCCTTTGATGTGTACTGACCAGGGTGCAGATAGTCAACTGGTTGGCCAGTTGCTATGACATGTACTGACCACTAGGGGGAAGATGCTCCGACCAGTAGGTGAGCTTGCTGCTTGGGTCCAGCCAATTGGGACTGAGCAAGATGGGCTGGACACTCCCTGGAGCCCTCCCACGGTCGTTCCCCTGCTGGCCAACCTTGCATCCCTCCCTGGCCCTGATTGTGCACTGGTGGGGTCCCTCTGCCTGGCCTACACCCTCTCGCAATCCAGGACTTCTCGGGGGATGTTGGAGAGTGGGTTTCAGCCCCATCCCACAGGCCAGGCCGAGGGACCCACTGGTGCATGAGTTCATGCACCATGCATCTAGTGATTAAATAAAATACTAGGTGTACCAGTTAATAATGCAGATTTTTTCCAACAGATCAAGTTACACATATGTTGATATATATGCAATTTGATATGTATGTTATTTTGTTGTATTGACAGCAAGCTTCAAAACTTCATATGTCAAATTTGCTGAAGGTGTTAACATCATATTTTTACACTTAAAAATGTCGAATTTCATGACAAAAAAAAGAGCATTTGTGGGAAGTTTTAATTTATTACTTTATTTTGAAGAAAAGTGCTGCTGAATACTTTGGAAAGCTTATGGTGAACATGCTCCATGTCAAGATACTTTTGAACGCTGATTTAAATGCTTTAAAAGTGATGATTTCGATGTGAAAGACAAAGAACGTCCAGATCAACTGAAAAAGTTTGAAGACTAACAATTACAAGCATTATTGGATGAAGATGCATGTCAAACTCAAAAACAATTTGCAGGAAGATTAAATCTTGCTCAGCAAACAATTTCCGATCATTTACAAGCAATGGGAAAGATTTTAAAGGAAGGAAAATAGGTGCCACATCAACTGAACGAAAGACAAATGAAAAACGGAAAAGTCATCAGTAAAATGTTGCTGCAATGGCATGAAAGAAAGTCATTTTTGCATTGAATTGTGACTGGCAATGAAAAGTGGATTTATTTTGAGAATCCCAAACACACAAAATCATGAGTTGATCTAGGTCAACCGTCAACATTGACTGCAAGGCCAAATCACTTCGGAAAGAAAACAATGCTCTGCGTTTGGTGGGATCAGGAAGACAATGCTCTGCGTCTGATGGTGTAGTATGAGCTTCTAAAACCAGGTAAAACTGTTAATACTGATTGCTACTGACAACAAATAATCAATTTGAACCATGCTTTGATCATGAAATGACCAGAATGTTCTAGAAGACACGGCAATGTAATTTTGCTTCATGATAATGCATCATCACACACTTCAAAACCAGTTAAAGACACGTTAAAAGACGAACAAAAAAGTGGAAAATTTGGTCTCTGAATGGTTTGTCTCAAAACAAGAAAAGTTCTATCGGTACGATATCTAAAGATGGAGGAAATGTGTAGGTAGTGATGGACATTATTTTGAATAAAGCACTTTTGATGTTTTTCTTGAAATTATCATGTTTTCTTTGATTACAACATCTGCATTATTACCTGGTACACCTAGTACACTTCCATCCTCTTACCTTGAAAAATGTACCTTTGAAACTACCTTCATAAGCCAGGTTCACATTTTAGAAGTTTTGGATTCCTCGGAGTTCTGTACTGAGAAATGCTAGCACAGGGAGAACCAGCCCTTCTGGTCCTCAGCCTGTGTCCTGTCCCCATTTCTTCCCACCTTTGGCTCCATCCTATATCACAATAGGTCTGGTATTAATGTACATGGATGCCCCAGCTTATGTGGCCAAACTCTGTGAAAGCCTTATAAATAGTCCCCCATGGCTGCCCTCAGAGCTTGAGGTATCCACATTGACAACAAGATTTTCCATCAGACAATAGATCCAGGGGAGAGGCCTACACAAGCCCAGGAAACAGACTCGGGGCTTTGGAGTAGGGAATTACAGGATCCCAGTGTCTGGAATATGGTCTTGAAGGAGAGTATGGCTCCAGTGGAATTCCATCTTGACCTTGTGGACTCCTAGTCCTATGGGGAGAGATGGTCTGACAGGGCCATTTAAAACAGGAGACCCCTAGAGCAGAGGTCTCTTGGAGTCTAAGGGCTATATTACTGTCTTGTCATAGCATATTACCAAATTTCATTCTGTTCCCTTTTCCTCATGTGCTTAATCACCTTCTCAAGTACAACCTCCTATTTAACAACCCAGTCATGTTCCACTGGGCTGAGGACTCTACCATGAAAACTAATGTTAAGTGGGTTATTGATGGATCCGAATCAGAGCCAAATCTTTCAGGCTATTTGATTTTTAGTTTTTGGTCAATAAAAGTTACCTAGAGCTAAAAAACCCTTTGTCAGAACTGTTAATTATACATTCTAAACCAGCTCGTGTCTCCAAGCATTTAAAAGCTACCACTAAAACAAAAGTGATGTAAACCTTACTTTATTATTTTGCATGGAAATTTCCCTTTAGTTTTTTTCTGAGAGAATTTGAAGGAAAGGCAGCCAGCTATCCTGCACTGGTGTGCTGGTTTCCACCCTTGAATATAGAACTTCTCTCCTCTCCTGGTTTTTCTGGTACTTAGATATAAGTCTTCTGGGAAGAGTTGGAGGGAAGCATAGTATTGGGGTCAGCCATAGAGGGGGTGTTCTCTTCGGTATTTTTAGAAATCTATCCGACTCATTCCAGTCAATATTTGATTGACTGCTTTCCTCCTTTCCTTCCTGCAGCTCGAGAGGAGAATGTGGCCACTTTCCGAGGCTCAGAGTACCTGTGCTACGACCTGTCTCAGAACCCGATCCAGAGCAGCAGTGATGAAATCACCCTCTCCTTTAAGACCTGGCAGCGGAACGGGCTCATCCTGCACACGGGAAAGTCAGCTGATTATGTCAACCTGGCTCTGAAGGATGGCGCGGTCTCCTTGGTCATTAACCTGGGGTCCGGGGCCTTCGAGGCCATCGTGGAGCCAGTGAATGGAAAATTCAATGACAACGCCTGGCATGATGTCAAAGTGACACGCAACCTCCGGCAGGTAATGCTGAGGGGAGAGAGTGCCTGGAGGCTCCTCTTAGGTAGTCAGGGAGGAAGTGTGTGAAGCAGGTGATAGATGAAGTGGAGAGGGGTATAGAGATAGGTTTGCATCTATCAAAGTCTAACTTTCTCCCAGTTTTTGCAATTTCACAAGGACAATTATTAAAATGTGCTTCTTCCCGTACTTCAATTCTCCATTTGTGCCTGTTATTTAAGAAAAAATTCAATTGTGTAGATAATAAAACTTATAAGTACTTTCATTCCTTTTTTTTCTGCATTCCTTTTAATCATTTTCTTAATTACACATTTGAATCTCATTATATTACTGTTAAATTCAATTAGAAACAGCGTTGTTTTTGCAGTGTGGTAGGTTTTCCTCATTCTTTGAATCTATGTTTTTCTTTTTAATTAAGTTAGTCATTGCCATGCTGCCGTACTTTTAATTCCCTCTAGAAAAAGTCTTCCTTTTTCTCTTCCTTTTCATTTACCACCCTTCACCCAATTTGATTTTTGCAGTCGTGATGTTAACCTCTAGCCTTGGAATGAATTAGCTGGAACCTTTCTGAATTCCTCTGTTTCTCTGTTCCTTGGTGCGATGGTCCTACTTTATTGCCCATGTCTCTACCTCCAAGACTCTTCAATTGATTTGGAGGCCTGGAAGGTGGAAGGACCCAAATAAAAAAGTCAACTTTGGAGCAGCCTTTCCTGGTTCTCTCCGTGCTTGGGAAGTCCCATCGCTTGCCGATGCTAAGCAGGCAACTCCGTCAGGTGACGACACTCTCTGAGAGCCTCAGCCCAGTGAAATCGGTTCAATTTCATAACCAATAACAACCATGATAACACCTAACCAGCCCACTTCAGTCAGTTCAAAAAAGCTTTTCCTGTAAAAGTGGATATCTGTGCTGAGACTGTCTTTTCCAGGTTGTTATTTTCACTTGGTTTTTCTTCTAGTGAAGTTGTCATTCAACCCAGTTGGACAGCATCCATCCTCTCTTAATCAGAAAACATTATGCAAATTTCTGGAAAGTGCTTATCAAATTTTCTTCTGCGGTATGATTGATGTTATGCCTTCTAATGTAAACATGAAAGCAGAAGACCTGACAGGTGTTTGCATATGTTTTTTGTTTGATAAAAGTGTAACTTCTTAATAATGCTAAATAAACGGAGAAGGCTCACACACATTGGAAACCCAAAATATACGAAACACCAATTTCCATATTGAAGTATGTCAAGAAAGCCACCTGGTTGGGAGATTCTACTCTCTCTGTGGTGAAATTGCCAAAAAAACCCCACAAGGCTTAGATTCCCCAGTCATCTTAATGCACATGGATTGAACATTTTTTTTAATCCTCACCTGAGGATATATTTATTGATTTTAGAGCAGTGGTTTTCAACCTTCCTAATGCTGTGACCCTTTAATACAGTTCCTCATGTTGTGGTGACCCCCAACCATAAAATTATTTTCATTGCTACTTCATAACTGTAATTTTGCTACTGTTATGAATTGTGATGTAAATATCTGATATGCAGGATGTTTTTCATTGTTACAAATTGAACATAATTAAAGCATAGTGATTAATCACAAAAACAATATGTAATTATATATGCATTTTCCCATGGTCTTAGGCAACCCCTGTGAAAGGGTCATTTGACCCCCAAAGGGGTCTTGACCCACAGGTTGAGAACCACTGTTTTAGAGAGATGAAGGTAGAAAGAGAGAGAAATCATTGTGTGAGAGAAACATCAATCAGTTGCCTCCCTTACGCACCCTGACTGGGGATGAAACCCATAACCTAGGTATGTGCCATTACCAGGAATTGAACCAGCAACCTTTTGGTGCATGGGATGGCACTCCAACCAACTAAGCCTCTTGGCCAGAGCTGGATTAAACATTTTTGAATTACTGTTCTATGTTTGTTTTTTTTCTCTAAGGCCAAAGAATCCTATTGCTGATGTTTTTCTTTGTCATCCCCATCTATACTTACTCAAAAGAGACCTCAACTGTCAAGAGAGCCCAAGACAAATGTCCATTTGCTAATGTATAAGGGCTTGACATATTTGAGTTGCAGACTCTAGACCAGTGGTCGGCAAACTGCGGCTCGTGAGCCACATGCAGCTCTTTGGCCCCTTGAGTGTGGCTCTTCCACAAAATACCGACTTCTGCGCATGGGCCATGAAGTTTCAATCGCACTGTACGTGCGCACCAGCACATGGTATTTTGTGGTATTTTGTGGAAGAGCCACACTCAAGGGGCCAAAGAGCCACATGTGGCTCGCGAGCCACAGTTTGCAGACCATGGCTCTAGACCAAGTGAAATATGACCTTCTGCCAGTTTTGACTTGGGGGGGGGTCACTGTAACACCCTTGAGACATTTATCAGTGGAGGGAAAACTTTTCATGTAGTGGGGAGCATATTTGGGTTGTGGTTCTACCAACCAATCTATTTCTCTAACTCTCTCCTACCCCCCAGAATACCTTGCCATTCTAGCAATGATTCCAATTAGCCAGAGAAAGACTCACTTTTATTTATACTAAAAACACTTCCAAAAGAGAATTGGGCCCCGATTCAGTCCTTTATACTGAAAGGGGGATAAACCAAACTGTAATTCAGATATTGGTTTTTCTGTTTAATCAGCAAGCAGAGGGTTTCTTTTCCAAGTTCTAAGATCCAACTCCACTCTGTGCCCTTGGACAAGCCATTTAACCTTTCCACACCACCGTTTCTGTTTGTGAAATGGTGATTACAATCCTCCCCAGTCATGTGTGGAGGCTCAATATGCAAAGTACCATATGTTCCAGAAGGATTATGAGCTCATCTGTGGTCTGGGTGCTAGACTCGCTGTGACATGCACACGATTTACAAGCCGAGTGCTCTGTCACGAAGGTGACTGTGTATGTCACCAAGCATGCAGCTAAGCAGAGCTCTCAGTTTTAGAGGAGGCTACAGAGGCCCTAGAGCTTTGGGGGATTTTGGCAAAGGGAGTATGAACCTCATAGAGAAAGTGCACCAATGATTGGACCTCACTGACTTTTTTTGCATCCAGATGCAATTTATTGAAAGAGGGAAATCTCAGAGGAGTGGAGTTGATTTTGTAAATGCAATCCTTTCAGCACTGAATCATATAATAGTAGTATTTTTCCTACTAAAAATACATTTAAAACATATTTTTGAGTTATTTGGGATACATTTGTAGGGGTGGGAAGCCCCTTTCTATTTCAATGAAACTGTAAAATTGCTTCATAAATATTTAATAACAAGCTTATGGCAGTTTCATCTACTTTTTGGTAAGATTGAATGTCTTCTGTGGCCAATATTTATTTGAGGAAAGCTTACTTAGAGCTCATTACCAAATGGAGCAGAACTTTCCTTATTTCTTCCTTCATGGTCATCTCCTCATGGCTCTGCCTTTGAGCCAAGTCAGGGCCATGGCCAGGTACTTTATTGGGGGTTCTGATTAAAGGAAGGAGAGGGGAAAACCCATTCTAAACCATAACTGGGATTAAGGACCATGGTAGTCAGGTATTTCTGTGCAATTTTTTGGTTTTGCTTTGTGTTTTGGGTTCACGACCTTGTCTGAGTCCACGGTCATGGCTATCACATGAATTGACTTACCTCTATATGCCACTCTTGCCAAACCACAAACACAAAACTGGGGTTACCAGTCTTCCAGCCTTCCAGACTCCCAGCTCTGGGTGTGTTGGCAATTTATCATTTGAAAACAGAAAAGGGGAGACTAATCACAGGGCCTCTGTTCTCCTGTTTAACCTAGTCCTCTTTGCTATCCACACAAGAAATTGCTTAAAATGCTTAAAAAAGTGAAAAGCATTCTTAAAGAGGAATGGGGAATGATTCCAACAGGAAGCATTCTGGAAAAGTAAGCAAACAAACAAAAAACTTCATTGGGGAATAGAGAAGACTCCAACTATTTTGATGAATTCTAACCACACAGTTATTCTAAACTGAGAGGAAAAGAAAGAGGAGAATGTTCCCCTCCTACTGCACAAATCTATACAAAATCAGCTGGTTCACAGATCTTTACATTACCTACAGAATCCTAGAGTAAGGTACATAAAGTAGCTCTCCTATGCTAGATATGACTGGTAAACATTTTAAATTCTTTTCGTTCTAAGAGAAAGTCATGATTGTCTATGCATGTAGTCAGGGTCAAATGTGAAAATAAAATCCCCAACTTATTGTTATTTCTGCTCTATCTATCTACATGTGGAATGATAAACTTTGGTGTCTTTGGGGACAGGAGGAATGTGTATTGCTAGAGGGTGGGAAGGAAAAGGGGGTGGTGATCTTTCAGAAGAGCCCTTGGAAAGTAAGTATGATGCTAAATCTAACTGCGGTTAGGTCTGATCTGAGGCATTTGGAAGAAGTGGGGAGTTAAACATGACTGCAACTCCTTTCCTGGCTATGCCCGGGGTGCCAGGTTTTCCACAGAGTCCTGGTCTCATTGTCTTCCCCACTCTCTTTTTCTGTGTTGGGTGCCTTTTTTTTGAAAAACTAACACAAGATCATTCATGCAATGTGTCATTTTACTAACCGACTAATGTACTAACACCCTAACGACTCATCTTTGTTTTTTAGTTTTTTTAATTAACAGTCGTTCTGTTCACAATTTTTAATTTCCTCTCTTCCCCCTTTTCCGCAAAGCACTCAGGCATCGGACACGCTATGGTAAACAAACTACATTGTCTGGTAGATATCATTCTTATTGTCTCTTTTTTTGGGTTTGCCGTGTGTTGCCCTCTTTTCCTCCCCCAACCCCTCTTTAATCCTCTTTAGACTTGTTTCTTCTCTTTTAAAATTTTTGTTGAATTAAATGCAAGTTTTTCATTTCTCTTAAAAAAATAAATAAAGGAAGAGGATGTACCTGTCCTGCAAATGATACTTGGAAGAGTTTGGTTGGAACGGTTTCTCCAGTTAGTAATTTTTTCCCCCCAAAAAAAATTTTGTAAGGAAAGTTTCTCCATTTAGCTAAATTTGTTTTGTTTTCTTATTTTACAACTTTGAAGCCACAGACTAGGGACAACAAGATTTATGTTAAGGACTTTCCTAATCTCTGTGTCTTGCTATCCCTCACTCTTTCTCCTTTCTTTTACTATCCCCATTCCTTAACCCCTGCTTTCTCTCCCTAGTGTGTGGCCACGGCTGCCACGAGTGATCTGGGGAGGAAATTGCTCTGCTTCCTGTGTTCTTCTTTTCCCTTCTTTCACCTTACTCCCCACCATGGCCCAAGGGAACTCCACCAATTATGTTCTCTGTCCACACTCTGCATGGCATGCTTCTGTCTCGTGAGCTTCCCCATTGGCATCAGAATTTGTCCCATCATTTTCCTCCTCATTACTAACAACCTATCAAATTATCCACCAAGTACACTTTCTTCTCTGTCTCTCCTTTTTTTTGTCTCCACTTTTTTATTTTACTCTCATCCTTCATATATTTGGGGGTTGGGTTTGGACTTTTTCTTTTCTTTTTTTTTTTTAGGAGGGAGGTGGTAGGCAGGGGAAAGATGACCCTTTAGTTTTGAGTGTTTTGTTTTTTTTTCACATCCATCTTGTGTTTCCGTTGGTGCAGTGCATGTGATGGTGAAGTGGATTCTGATTCTTTCCTTTAGTTCTCCTCACCCTTTCCCTCTTCCATCCCCTTTTTCTTCTGCCTTCTCTCTTGGCTCCAGATAATTTTTGCATGGGTGTGTCAGTGTATGGCGTGTGCACGCTCTGAGGTCCTGTCTCTTCTCTCTGCCCTCTGCTCCTTTCATGGATGTTGGGTGTATGGGTGCTCTTTCTTCTCTATGGGCATTATCATTATTGTTTTGGTTATTATGCATCATCATTCATGTATTTTTGTTAGAGTTGCTTCTTTGGTTGGGTCATTTCTTCTCTTGGTGGTGGTGATGGCAGCGAAGGGAGGGCAGGGGTTGGCATCCTGGGGATGTCCATGGCATGTACTAGTATCATCCATGACACATCACCATCGAGACCTTTCTTCTTCCCTCCCAGGATGCATGTTTGTCAGCGTGGTGTGAGTTCAAAAAGAAACAAATAAAAGAGAAAAGAAAAAGAAAAGAAAAAAGGAAAATAATCATCACTAACCAAAGACCAACCCCCTAACAAACCCATCGTCAAATGTCTCCTTTGCTGTTTTTCACTACCACCATAATTAACAATCATTAAAAATTAAATCATCTCATTTTAACAATGAACTGAGACAAGTGGTGTCGTCTGAGGACAGTTCCATTTTCTAGCCTGACTGAATAAAGAGTGCAATGAGTAGAGCAAATTGCTCAGCTTGGCAGTTCCGACACACTCTCCTAGGAGTCTGCAGGGGAATGCTGCAGGCGTGGGCCACAGGGAAGGCAGACCAGAAAATGGAACTTGGCTGCACTTCCCAAAATAAAACCAAATTAGAAAGAATACCTCACCAAAATCTTAATGAAAGTGAAGCCACAGGTGGGGGAAGCCATCGGATTTTGATAGGACTATAAGGTCATTGTTGGGATTTTGTTTTTGCCCCTATGTCCCTCCACCAGGTGACAATCTCTGTGGATGGCATCCTTACCACGACAGGCTACACTCAAGAGGACTACACCATGCTGGGCTCGGATGACTTCTTCTATGTGGGAGGAAGCCCAAGTACCGCTGACTTGCCAGGCTCACCCGTCAGCAACAACTTCATGGGCTGCCTTAAAGAGGTAAAGTTCAAACACTCCTTTTAATGCACTGACTGTTCAGTTACTGGCTCTGTAGATGGTAGAAGAAGAGACCTTGGACTTGAAGCAGAGCCCTTGGTTTTGATCAGAGCTTAAGTTGTTTGCATGACCTTGGGTTTACCACTAAAATGCTCTGTTTTGTTTTGACATTTAACTAATGGAGGACCTTATTTTTCAGGTAGCTGTGCTTTATAAATAAAATAAAATAACACAGGTGAAAGGAATTTGAAATCATTAGGAACTAGTTTACTAATGAAATCATTAGTAAAGTTTGATTTTGTACTTTTGACGTGGCACATAGGGAAAGCGCTAAGAGTGGCCAATTTGTGGTTGTGTGTCTTGTCTAAAACATTTGTATTATTTTACCTTGTCCAAACTTGGTGTTCCCAAGAGTCTCATTATTTGAGATGAAAGAAAATTCACAGAATGTAACATTAAGGCCCAGACAGCTTGCTTTTTCTTTTTCCCCCCCTCTTTCCCTGGGAGCTAGCAGCTGTGAGAAAGCAGTGGACGTTGCCATTACTCATTTATGCTATTGTAGCTTATGTGTTGAGACCTCTGTCTGAGAGCAAAGGAACAACAGTCAAATGTATGTTCAATCACTAAGGTCAATTGTTGAGGTAAAAAAGAATCAGACTTGATTTGGTAGAATTCTTCCAGAACACTGTGTCCTCAGAGCAGTCTACTGTACATTTTTGTTTAATCTAAGCTAAGCTTTATTGCCTAAGATATCTATATCATTTCCCTGGGGAAAGTTTTTGCAAAGCTAACAGTGTGCTTTCTTATAGATGAAGATTGCTATGACAGGTTATGACCCTCCTCTCAGGACACAGGTTTTATGCGTGTTATGGCTATTTGATATTTGTTGAATATCAGTCATACATGAGATGGCATTGCTCATGTACTCATCCACACCACTCAACTCTGAGCCAGGTACTGACAGCAGTTGTGCCTGTCATGCCTTATATAAAATAGGCACATAACAAGTATTTATTGAATTGATAAATTTATCAGATACTCATTTGGTGCCTTTTTTTGTGCTGTAACTAGTCTTTTTACAAGCCACAGTCTCTGTACTCAAAGCCTTTATAATGTATGAAGGGAGATGGGATTGGTAAGTTAACAGTTATAGTTCAAAACACTGTGTGTTCAGCGCCACCTACTAAATGTTTTAACTGAGTAGAGGAAACAGATATGTTTTAGGTAGGAATCAGTTTTAGAGAAAAATTGATGTTTGAGCTGGGCATTGCTGCAATAAATGATGTTTGGCTTGAGAGGAAGGGGTAGGAAGGAGAAACTGGACAAAGGAGGAAAACATCCAATTATAGCTCTGTATTGTTCTTGGTCTGAAGGACAAATTACAGAAGGGAACCCAAAGCGTGTTTCCTCTTTCTGTTGTATGTTACCTAGACTTCTGTTAACTGCAGGGACTCTACTGGTCATTCCTGATGGATTGTAGTAGACAGAATACTCCTTCCATGAGATTTACTCCCATTTGTATTGAATGAAGGTATAAACTACTCAGTGTCTAATGAACTTGGAAAGGCTCTTAAACACTGTTAATCACACTATATTGGAATTGCACTCTCATCAGAAATAGATAGGAACATTCTGTTACCACATATGTGGCTCAGGAATGAATGAGGCATTGATTGCAGTGGAGAACTCATCCATTTTTGTAGGGAAACAGCCCTGAGCAGGAATTTCTCCTGGACAGCATCTAGGGGTGGTCTCTAACACCAGTCTTTTTCTGATTGTATTGAAACGGCTCTCAAGCACATATTTTGAGACAAAGGAGAAATTTCCCAAATTTTTCCATCAGAAAGGGTCCAACATTTTGAAACAACACTCATAAGAACTTGAAAGTTTCTTTAATGATTTTATGCATGCAGAATCTAAGGAAAACAAAATCTCCCTTCTCTCTCTCACTGCCTAAGTCAAGAGCAGACAGCTTTAAAAGTCACTTCAAAGTTTAAAAATTAAAGGCAGCTCTGAAAAAGTGTCATTAACAGTAATTAGCAATCAAAGTATACACATACCTTAGCTAGCAATATAATTCTACACTTAAATCCAGATCAAGTCAGAAAAAGTCCAAAACATTAGGGGAAATGGTAGGCACAAGAGAACTTTATTAATTTTTGTTCCATCTCTCTGTTACATGTTAAGTATGCTAGCCTTTCTAAGGGACTTGAGAGGCTTTCTTATTTACCTCAGAGTTTTAAACAGATACCTTTGAGTATACTGTTGTCCTGGAACATTCTTTCTCTCCATTTAATCATTACACTTCACTTTTCTGTGGGCAGGTCTGGTAAATTCTTCTCTTGTTCTTGATACTTCTCTTTGACAACTTAGTAACAGCCAAAGCTTCCAGCTACCCTAGGACTTTGCTCCTTGATAAATCCCACTTACCCACATTAGCCATCTGCCTTTAGAATAGTTTCCAATTACTTCACAATTTTTTCTTCTCTCCCCTATCCCTGTCTTCCTTTTTACTAGTATGTCTTCTCTTGCCATTTGTGGCTCTGAGTTGCCTTAGACTGAGGTAGATGCTTTTGTATGTCATTTTCTTCAAAATAGGGACATTGTAAAGGGACTTTGGGATTTTTGATACAAATCATGGTTCATGGTTACTTTGCGTGCGGTACAAAATAGGTTTTATCTTTGGAACTGCAGTGTCTTCCCATCTGAATGTTTCATTCTGGTTACACTGTGACTGCACCTGTGTGAACACCACCTCTGTTGATACCACTGTCGAAACCACAATAGAGAAGGTCCAAGTTATCATCAAACTGTTCTGGTTCTCCACACAGCCTGTCTATCAATATAAGACTTGTATCCAGTTAAATGTCACAAAATCAGTATGTCATTCCTCTTCATGTTTTCACAGGTCTGTTTTATTTTTGTTCTTGTTGTGTTCCCAGCTCCTTGTGGGCTCTCAATAAATACAGGGGTGGGAAAAAGTAGGTTAATAATAATAATAACAATAATTCATAAATAATAAAAGAATAAACTCATGTACTCACAGCTGTAAACCTACATTAACTGACTGAAAAGAGGCATTCTCTGGTGCAGTGGGGCTGCTGAGTAGAAGGACATAACATATCTTGGGGTTCAGGAAACTCTGTGGAGGAAACAATGCCCAAGGGGAGGCTTAAAGATGAGCAGAAGTGAACAGGGAAGAATAGAGGGAGTGGTGGCTCAGGATGAATGGGCAGCATGAGCAAAGGTCTGAAAACAGGACCCATCATGGTGTCTGGGTGAGAAACATACAGCTTGCTAATTTCAGGGCACAGAGTATAAGATTAGGAGTTCTAAAAATGCAGCTATTAAGTAAGAATGGGCCAGGTCATAGAGAGCTTGATGTTATGCTATACTCTCAAGCTTTATTTTCTAGGCAATGGGGAGCCATTGGGAATCTTAGTAGAATGACAACTTCAGATAGGCATCTTGCCCATGAGGCTGTAATTCCTTGACGACTGATGCTCATCCATCTGTTCCTTTCTCCTGATGTATGTTTTTGTCCTATGAGGTTGAAGAGCAGGGTTGAAAGGGTGGTCCATTGGCTTTAGTATTGAGGAGGGAAAGTGACTCTGAATCTTAAAATGTCTATAGAAAAGTGCTTCCTTCTGATGCTCATTTCAGTTTCCAAGGACCTTCCCTGTCAAGACATACAGTTCTTCTTTCCTCTGTCCTTGGTATTATTGAGCTATTGTTGGATAAAGCACAGTGCAGTGAAGGAAAGCTGAGTCAAGACCAAGTTGCAGGAATTTCCAGCTCCAGGGAGCTGACTCAAGCCCATCACAGTATCCTCCTATGTTGGAATTTTCTGTGTTGTTTGATTTGGGTCTTCCTACACCATCCCCCTTTCATCTCAATATGTTACTTCTCCCCTGATATGTTGGTTCTTCATTTTCCTATAGAGAAGCTCATGAGCCGCTGAGACCTCTGGGACAGACATGTCTGTTTCACCTCTCTTTTCTCAGAGCATCTCTGATGGAGAGGAAGGAAAAACACAGGAACTGGAGAGTGGAACACATATTTAAAGGAAAAAGGATTGGGTAGAACATCATTGTGACCATTACATTCCACATCCCTTTGTGATTATTAGCCATTTAAACGCAAACGGAATTTTATAGCCAGAGATAGTCTCTGAACAGATGATTAATGGCTTAATCTGTAATAACTTTACATTTTATAGAACCCTGTTAGGAGTCCACATCTGGTGAGCCAAGCTATTTAAGGCTGTGTTAATTCTGTTAATTGCTATACTTTTGTTGGAATTGTTGGCACCTGCGGGCTTTGGGATAATGTGGCTTTTTGTTGCTTTTTTATTTTTTAATATACTCAGTTTATTTTACCCTCACTGTCTTTTTCTGATCTCTTTTATGCTATCAGTTCATTTATTTTTATTTATTTTTTTTGAGTGCGTGTGTTCTCCTCTTGCTTCTTCACTTTTTTGCTTCTGATACTTTTTCCCTCCCTACTCTTATTTTCCCAACCTCTTTGTTTCCCAAACATTTGTTTTGGTGTCCTTCCTGATTTCTCAGGTGGTGGAAAATATCTCTTTTTATAATCAGGTAAATTTAGGTATGGCATTGGTCCTAAAGATTTCCTTTTTCCCATTATTGAGACTACTGTGGGGCCCCACGGCGAGCAAAATTCAAGTAAGCATTTCAGAGTCAGCATGAAATATAAAAGACATTTGGCTTAAGAAGCACAAGTCTAGGGTTTGACTCTGGCCTAGACATATTTGTTATCAGCTGTAAGACTAACAGAAAATCACTTGACTGCTCTTCACCTCAGTTTTTTAATCAAATAATAATACCTACTTTAGCATTTTTATGTCAGGAGCGAATGGGATTAAAAAGAGGAGGTGCTTTATAAACTGTGCAAATGCTATTGATATAATTTGTGTTGCTAGGTTATTGATCAGATCTAGCCAAGGAACCACTTAGTGCTCTTTGTAGTTTCTGCAATTGAAA